TACTGACCTTGGAAGGATGGAAGGCTGAATCAACCTAGAGACGGTGAGAATCGAACTGCCAAACTGCTAGCAGGCAGCAGGCAGCAGAGGTAGCCTGCAATACTGCATTCTAACCACTGCGCCATCATGGCTCTTGATGGACGGTGCTTGCTTGGATAGGCTCCAGTTCTACTCCAAAAACATTTCCACATGAAAAATGGATGTCTGTCCTCAAGTCATTCTGTCTGTTCTGTTCTGATCCCACCCCACCTGAACCATTACTTCTAGATTGATTGGGGTAGAGCAGAAACCGCAGAAGGAAGTCTCAGCCTTCCGTGTATGGGAACGTCTGTGGGATTTTCACAGTTGTGTGAGCATGCCTGCTTTCTTACTTTGTAGCCTTTGCTGTCAGAATTTTGCCAGCCTTTTGAGCATAGCTTTTGCACTGAGTGATGGGAATACAGTTATGGTGGCTTGTTAACCTCCCATTGTTATAGAAACTCCAGTGTTTTTTTTAAAGTAATCCATAAAGTCCAAGGAAAAGAGATTAAATGGCAATTTTTCAATTAGTGTACTTGCGAAGGGTGGCAATATTGGGGACATGGAAGTACCTTCAGAGCACTTTCTTCAAGGGAATCATTTATTCACCAAAGTAAGATGAATCTAAATATATCCAAGTAGGAATATGGGCAGACTTGTAACAATCCCTTAAACATGTAATAAATATTTTGATTCCAGCCTGGAGTAAAAATAGAAGTCCTTAAGCCTTTTTTCCACTTGTCTCCAATATAGTGTCTCAAATTTATATGCCTGACATTACCTAACAAAAAAGAAAAGGAGATTTTTCACCCCTTCTTTTTTTCACCCCTTTAACTTTTATTATACATCTTCAGCTAGGGTTGCTAATGGCCAGAAATGGTGGGAAATGTTGATTTTCCATGACTGTTCACCTAGGTTAATGGAAATATTTATAAATTGCTAACTTTATTGAAATTCATAATTGTGGAATCTTGACTGAAATATTTTAAGAGTATCCATTCTTGCATAAAGATTCTGAAAATTAGCTTATTTTTAATTTCAAAATCCTACATATATCATTATAGCTGTATTTATATATGGAATATGAGCCATGATAGTGCAGTGGTTAGAATTGCAGGCTACTTCTGCTGACTGTTGGCAATTTGAGTCAAGGTTCCTTCTATCACTGACTCAAGGTTCCTTCTATCCTTCCGAGGTCAGTAAAATGGGGACCCAGATTGTTGGGAACAATATGCTGATTCTGTAAACCACTTAGAGAGGGCTGCAAAGCACTGTGAAGCGGTATATAAGTTTAAGTGCTATTGCTATTTAAAATAATAGAGTAATTGGATAAATTCCAGTGTTCTGTCTCTTTTGTATGTGCTAGAGCAGGGGTCTCCAACCTTGGCTACTTTAAGACTTGTGAACTTCAACTCCCAGAATTCCTCAGCCAGCTGTTGAAGTCCACAAGTCTTAAAGTGGCCAAGGTTGGAGATCCCTGTGCTAGAGTCTCCATTTTCCATTTAAATTGCTCTTTCTACAATGCCCACCACCAAAAATGTTCCTAGATAGTCCTTGACGTACAATTGTAATGGAGCCTGCCCATTATGGTTGTAAGTCATGATGGTCATTAAAACCGGCATATATCCTCATTCTCCGCATTAAAATAAAGGTAAAATATATTCCGGAGTGTTTTGAGATATCAGTGGGGGGTATAAGCAGGGGTGAGATTCAAATTTTTTAACAACCGGTTCTGTGGGCTTGGCTTAGGTAGTGGGTGTGGCTTGGTGGTCATGTGACTGGGTGGACATGGCTTGGTGGTCATGTTATTGGCTGGGCGTGGCCAACTCAATATCACTCACATCGAGGCACGCATCTCCTCGCCCGGCCTCTCATGACTGTGGGGATGCTGCAACAGTTGTGTGAAAAGGGTCATAAGTCACTTTTTTCAGTGCCATTGTAACTTTGAATGGTCACTCCACACAAGCAAAGTACCGGCAAAGGAGGGAAAAAAATTCCAGAGATGTTCCTGAGACAGGAAGTCTAGTCCTGCCAAGAATGTAATAAGGGTTAACGGAGAGGCAGTGTCTGTAAGCAATACCAGAATGTTTCCTTCCTGCTTTCCTTACAGGATTAGGCCAGTAATTTCATCTAACAACCTGTTCTCCGAATTGCTTAGAATGTTAACAACCTGTTCTAGCGAATAGGCGCGAACTAGTAGAATCCCACCCCTGGGTATAAGAAAGTATACATCCTTTATTACACACAGAAAAAAGTCCCAGAATATTTTAACAGAACGCCTCTTTATCAGGGAACACTACTCAATTATGGCACAGTATGAAGCATGAAGAAGCCAAAGTGTTCAAGATATTTTTTGAATCACCTGCATTATTTTCACTTATTATTTCTGTTTTGAAAAAGATATAGATATGGAAAGGGAATAAATAGTTACACAAACATTGTGAATAAAATCTGAATCAAGTTTAATTCACAGAGTTCCATCCCCTTAAATGATTTTTTTTAAAAGGCAAGCAGAGATTAGGTCTATGCTAACACTTCCTTTGATGCCTTAGCTTGCTCCAGAGTATGAAAATATTCACTTTAAGTATGCAGAATAGGAGACCTGAGGATATTTAACACCGTTCCCTGAAATGCATGCTTTAGTTTAGGCAGCACTAGCACAAGTTGTAGTAAAGCTGAAAGTTTCATTCTGCAGAAGGCACTGTCCTCTTGTGGACAAAGTTTGCACTGACAATTAAGCTCTTTTAAAACGGGTTCAAGGCAAAACCTTGGGATCTTGGATTTGCTCACTCTGAAAAAAACCCAAGTTCAATGAACTGAGGCCAAACTATTGCATGAAGATAACAGAAGCCAAGCTTAAACAGGAACAAACCTAAAATAAGAGGAGGGCTATAAGCACACTTTTCTTTTGGAAACCAACAATTTAAATGACCCTTCAGAAAGTGAAATGCTTGCTGTTTTCAATCTACTATCCATGTTAAGAATTTCATACCATTTCAGATGATGCACTCTCCCTGTTCACTAGGCCTTAACAACGTTATTAAACTGATGCTAAGTGTTAAGCAAATCACTGTGTGCCTCTGTGATTTAATTAAACAAGAATACAGTTCTCAGTAATTTTAAAGTATACGTTTTTAGTTCTCATGATCCCAACAAAAAGATAAAGAACTCAGCCAGGAAATGAAAAAAAAAAGTATTTATTCTTTTATTTATGGACTGTGCAGTTTGAGATTTTGTTGAAGACAGCAAATCAATTTAAAGAAATAAAAAATTCTACTAGAAAGTGTATGAAAGCCAAAACGATTGATTTGAAGCAGTCATGTGTATGGGCACCTCGAGCAGTCACTAATTAACTCTAATTGGAGAGATTAGCTCTGAAACACACCACACACACACACACACACACACACTCACAGCTCACTTCCATGGACTGATCCAAATATACCCCACCGGACATCAATCTTGAACATGCCTGACTACTTGTTCTTTAAGGACCTGTCCTTATCCCTTGTCTATAGCTGAGGCTGCCTAATGTCATATTTAATTGATCCAAGGTTATAACAATGTTTTCCATTGGTCTTCTGGCACAAGCCATGCTGCAGGCATGATTTTGGTGCTTCTCCCTGCGCCCTGATGGCTGGGCACTGCTCTCCCTGACCCATTGTGGTTCATGCTGGTGGATTAACGTGACAGCTGGATTCTACAGACCTCTGCCCACATAATGCATGTCTAGTGTTTTTCAGAGCCCAAGTCAGATTTTGCATGGGTTCCTTGTTTAACTCTCCCCTTGTGACAAAACACTGGAGATTTCTTCCTGTTTTAAAGATCTTTTCAGAAACAGGAATAGAGGCGCAGTAACAGCATGATTATCAACAAACTACTCTCCACCACTATTGTCTTTAAAAGCAGTCGGAGCTGTGGGGGACTTCAATCTTCAAAGCCATCAGGCAAAAAAAAAAGCCCCCCCCCCCATCCTTGAGGAGGCAGTGAAAGCGGTCAACACTCAGCTGGTGTCTCCCTCATCCTGCACCTCTGATCAGTCAACCCACTTTTCAATTTTGGACACATGCCTGCTCCTCTCCTGAAATAACACAGGATGTGATTTCAGAGCTAGTCAAAATGACAGCACTTCTGGGCTGACGTACTGCCATTAGGACAACTTGAAAGATGGGCTCAGGGCATTTATGTTGTTTTCAACACGATTATTAAACTGTCAGCATGGTTATAATAGCTTCTGGTGGAGGGAGAATGCCAGCTTTTTGACTTCCAGCTTCTCATCAATCAAAAAAGGCTCACTGTAGTGCGTAGGAGAGTGACCTGTGATGGGTTTTTCCAATTCAGAGGAGGTGGAGAGATGCTGCTGGGAGAGGACAGGCATCAACCAATCCCTGCTTTCGACCTGGATCTCATTAAAATGCCCAGGGCAGTTCCACTTGCCAGCATCATTATTGAGGGGAAATAGATGTTGGCTGTCAAGCAGAGCAAAGTTTAGCTCACAAAGCATCTGTCTGGATCAGTTGTACATGACCTGCCTGCACTCAGCACTGTGGAACAGTGGCCAGTGAAAAAATACAGCCATCTACCCGAAGAAATATAGGCATCTGAGCTGATCAATGATTTAACTATTAAAGAACATTATAAATTGTTTCGGGGACATCAGCAAGACTGGTGCCTTCTTATTTTGCAGTATTCTCTAAAGCTGGCACATGAAATTGTAAGCACGGTTAGAAAATGCACAGCTCTCTCCAATGAAATCCAATACTGAGGCCATAGCAAAATTTGGATAACCACATTATACCTTCTGCTTTCTATCAGATACTTCTGGTGGAACACAGGCTGCTTTCATATGTGAAAATCAATAATATTTTTTCTATAAGCCATAATAGTCTGATTTGCATCTGGTTAATCTGTAAAGAACTCTTTCCCATTCCTTATGCAACTTTCCAAAATATTAACCAAAGTTAATATTGCATGAAGAGCAAGATGCCAATTTTATTAACAATCGCACAGTAGTTACATCCATTTCTATCTGTCATGAAGACAGGCAGAACAATTCAATATTCAAAAACCTAAAGATAATTTTTTTGCAGCATTATATTTCCATTAAACTTAGGAGGAAATAGATAAAGGTGTAACAATTTATGCAAGATCCATCCAGAAACAAAAAGTTGCATTTGCTCAGCCACAACAAAGAAAAGTTTAACATGAAATAGGAAGGAAGGAGGGGTTTAATTGCAATTTATGTTGTATGTTCTTTCTTTTTCTTCTTCACAAACGTTCAGACTGCTCAATGGATACTCTGTATGTTTCACTGGGGCCAGTCCTCAATTGCAGGGGCAGTTCTGGTGGTTTGACTCTGACCTTTAGCTGGGCAGGGTCCAGAGCCAGGAGTTGACGGATGTTATTATGATCAAAGGTTGTTGCTTGCAGCTGGGGTTCTGCTGGCATCCCAGGCGAAGCAGCTTCTCGGAACTGCATCTCTCTTTTAATGCACCTTTTCTTTATGAAGGTACACAACACAGTGAGCACTACAATGAGCACAGTGATGCAAAAAACAGTGATCCCAACAATAAACTCAGTATAGCTGTAGAAGGACTCTAAACCTGGAGATAAAAAAGAGACTGTTCAACCCAATCATGGAAATGGATCTCCTATACAAATACGTTGGTCAACAGATTAAAGCACAGGTTAGGAATTCTAGAAGACCAAGCATCTGAACCAGAGGTGGTATTCAGCAGATTCTGACCAGTTCTGGAGATTCGGTAGCGGAATTTTGAGAACGGGCAAATATCACCTCTGAGTAGAGATTTTACAGTATCCTTCCCCTGCCACGCCCACAGAGCCAGTAGTAAAAAAAATTTAGGCCAAGCATCTTTCGGTAATATCAGACAAAGCAGATTTAGGCCTAAGCCAGAGAACATCAGTTTCGGTGTGTGCTTGCTACATTCACTATAGCTGTCCAACTTATTTCGTCCAGTGTAAATTCTAAAGAACATGCAGCTTTTTGTGGTACAGTTCACAGCTGGGACATTTTCATTGAAAAAGGTTCAGTGAAAACTACTGCTTGACTGTCCACCTTTTGTTAATAAACCTCTCTGCACACTATTTGGAGCAATTTTGCAACTATAATTAAAATAGTTTGACTTGTTCATTCAGGAAGAGAATCTATTAAAAAGCCTCAATAAGGTTTGATATCCTACACATAAGGAAAGCCAACTTGAAACAGGAATGGAACATTAGACTGACAGCTGAATTAGCATGCACATATATAATATTGGTGCGAACACAAACATGCACGTGCTTGGGGAGTGTGTGTGTCAAATTTCAAAAGTGTTACACTATGGCAAGGAAAGAGTACTTTAAAAAGCATGTCTAGCTTCATCATTACATTCTCAGATGATATGAGCCAAAGTGTAACTACATCAAAGGCTCTCTGGAGCTTCATTGGAGCTACGACGGCCTAATCTTATTCCACCAGCCTCAGAAGCTGCCATGGGAAGTTGCCAAGTTGAACTGCCAATGCAGATTGCATAGCAATGTTGTCAAGATAAACTCTTCCTAACTTGCTTGCTGTTTAACTTTCCTATAAACTCTGCTTTTTTCCTCAGAAAAACCCAACTGCTGCACCCACAAACTTTTGTGCTGAGAAGGGAATTTCAAATCCAAAGAGGCATCTGTGGCAAGCAGGCGGTGCAGCTTGTGGCTTGTCTCTGGCTTGTGAAGCCCATGATAGCAAAAACTCTTTTGCATAAAAGGACTGAGTCACAGGGTGAATCATGTGAAGCATTATCAGACAGAAACATATGTCAGGCTAAGCGTTTCCTTGGGGTGGGCAGCCACATGGAGAAAGGGAAGAACCAAGAGATTGCATCACTTTAGGCTCCTGCTAACAGCCGTACATTCACCATTTTTGCAGCCTTGTCATGTGATGTTTCATGATGTGATGTGATGTGATGTGATGTGATGATAGGATCCTGTAATGGTGTGATGTGATGTGATTTTTGTGCCTTTGAGTCTGTGTTGACTCCTGGGCAAGTCCCTGTAGTTTGCTTGGCAAGATTTCAAAAGTGATTTGCCATTGCGTCCTTCCTAGGACTTTGAGGGAGTGGCTGGCCCAAGGTCACTCAGCTGGCTTCGTGCCCAAGGCAGAAATATAACTCAGATCCTGGTTTTTACCTTATGCTTTAACCACTAAGTCAAATATTTTACTTTTTTTTGTTTTGTTGCAGCATGCTAAGGCAATTCTTTCATGCCTTAGCAAATAAACAACAAACCATCACCAAGAATCTGACAGAACTTTTTAGTGTCCAAATCCCCAAAAGAGGTGGGGATGGAGTATCATAAGGACCCACCTGATCGTGGATTGCGAACACACAGAGTACCCGATTTTGTCAGAGAACGATCCTCGTACTCTTCTTTACACCGGCAGGAGTAGGTTCCATATTCGTTGAGACAAGTGGCGTCGTTGCCACATAAAGCAATTTCAGAGTTGCATTCATTCACATCTATCATGCACGGACAAAACAGTTTTCCATTAACAGGTGATTAAACTTCCAAAGACAGGAGTTACTGTTTTATTGGATATTCCCTGATTAATAAAATAATTGCTCACCTACCTTTCACCAGTACAGTTTGGACCTTACCAGCTGCCACAAATGCACCATTAAGATCTTCCAGTAAGTGAGATATGTTCTTTTCTTCTGAGGTTAAATGCACCCAGAATGTGAATATCAGGTTTGGGCCATTGTCTCTACATAGAAACATGGAAACATCTTATTTTTTTTCCATTCAACTAAAAAGTTAGCTATCGCTCCCCTAAATCTTGGAGCAGTACTCACCAGGAGTATTGAAAAGTGTAATTCAATCAGATCTGAAAGACGAAAATTGCCTAAAGTGTTCTACTTTTAAGGGTTAACCACATCTGTCATCAAGTTATATAAGCAAAAAATAAAGAGCAGATTTCAATTTTATTTCAGATAGGAGAGACTCAATCAAAAAAGGAATATTGTTGCAAATTCCTCCTCCCACATAGAAATACAACTGACAGAAAATAACACTTGATTTTGAGGTATACGAAGGAAATGTTTGCTAACACCACAGGGCAACCTATATTCAGTTGTCATACCTGTCCATTTCAGTTTCTTCTTTTCTCATAATTTCCTTTAATTTGAATTCTTTGATTTGGTTGGAGAAGAGTTTCATTCTTTCTTGTACCTGGAAAAAACCCCAAAGAGTTTAATTCTTTTAAAATATATTTAAACAATAAACATAATGTGCCTGGAAAAACATCTTCTAGGAGATGTCAGCATCTTATCTAGCCAGTAGGATACAAACTGAAGCCTACAAAGTGACCTTAATTATTCTAAATGTTATCCTTGTGTTCCATTATTTTATTCGATATGAAACTTGAACATCCAGCCCACTAGATGAATTTTGGTATGTATGTATACATATTTACACGCACACACACTCCCTAATCCATTTTTAAAATAAGTTCTGCATCATGAATTTTCTTACCTGGTGCTTAATGGAATCAATGAAAGCTTTTTCCAGAGTGCTTCCAACAGGTGGGAATTGTCCTTTCTGTTCTATTTCAAAAACTATTTCAAATAGAAGATCTGTAGAAGAACCCAAGTTGCCAAAACACAATAAGGCAGATAATACATGTATAATGTAATTTTAAAATGTTTTTAAAAGCCTATAAGGAAGCAGCGTAATACAGCTTTTCTACACACAGGTTGGTATGTTCTAGCCATACATGGATAGTATAGGAGATGGTAATTAAGAGTAGGAGACAATGGGTGCTTATGGGTGCTCCGATATTTAATAGGGAAGAATTTTTTACCTGCTAATTTAATGTCACAACTGGCAGAAAAGCTGACCCCATCTGGTACAGGCTATTTTTGTCTAGACCTACTTTGAGATTACAAATGTTATAAATGCCAAAATTTTTGCCATTTTTTTTTTTTGGGGGGGGGGAATCAGAATCTCCTATTCAAAAGAACTTACTTAAGGGATAAGTAGCTTTTATTAATAACAGTCAATTGTTAAGTCATTTAAGAGTCATTGTATAAAATAGAAAGCAAAATTTAAGAAAACAGTGAGAGACAGAGAAGAGACACAGGTTCCTCACCTCCAGGATTGTGTTGAGAGTTCAATACAAAATAGTTTTCATGAGACTTGAATCCGGGATTTGTCTCTATGGAAGAAGAACAATGACAAGATATCAACCTAGCATTTGGACAGGACTGTTTTATTCCCCAGTATCTTAAAATACAGTAATTTGCCACTCAGAAATATTTTCAATTCTATCAAAGCCTCAGTTAGCAAGAACCTTGTGGCAAATGTATTCATTTATATTGCAACTCTTTTCTGGGAACTCAAAATGGCGTACATAATAGTTCCTCTTTATATTTTCCCTCACACCAACTACCCTGTGAAATAAGCTGGGCTGACTTGGCAACTAGCCAAAATCTTGAATTAAGTCTGCATGGCTGATAAACTGGACTGATTTTACCTCAGCTCAAACAATGGATGATCACTCCAGTAGCTAAGATAAATGGACCACGGTTCCCATCTAAATCTCACCCCAGATCATTCATGGAGGTAGCTAATGCAGGTTCAGATGTATCCCCAGGATTGAAATCTGACTATATCTTTAATAATGTCTCTTTGCGGCAGTCACCCGTTGCTTTAGTGGTGTCCAGAAAGGGGAAGTTGGGGATAGAAAAATATTTGTCCAGTACAGGTAGTCCTCAACTTACAACAGTTCATTTAGTGACTGTTAGAAATTACAATGGCAATGAAAAAAGTAACTGTGGACCATTTTTCACACTTATGAATGTTGTAGCATCCCCATGCTCACGTGATCAAAATTCAAAATTGGCAACTGACTCATAATTATGACAGTTGCAGTGTCCTGAGGTCATGTGATCAACTTTTGCGACCTTCTGACAAGAAAAGTCAATGGAAAAGCCAGACTCACTATTATTAAGTATTCTACCTTATGATTCTTAACTCTTGACGAATGTATCTTTTCTTTTATGTACACTCAGAGCATTTGCACCAAGACAAATTCCTTGTGTGTCCAATCACACTTGGCCAATAAAAGAATTCTGTTCTGTTCTGTTCTACTCTAGTCTACTCTCTACACTGCACTGCACTGCACTGCACTGCACTATTCACTAAAGAAAAGTATTCCTTATTTAACAACTGTAGCAATTTACTTAACAACTGTGGCAAGAAAGGTCAATAAAAGGGGTAAAATTCACTTAACCAATGTCTCACTTAGCAACAAAAATGTTGGGCTCAATTGTGGTCGTAAGTCAAGGGCTACCTGTATCCTAGGATCCAGGCCTCTTAAGAAGGTCCAGACCAATGTTTCTTCCAAGGCTCTTGATATCTCCCTTTTGTAATCATTAGTCAACCTTAACAAAGCAATTGCTGGTTTAGAATGAATGAGCTGGAAGGGACCTTGAAGGTCTTCTAGTCCAGCCCCCTGCTCAAGCAGGAGAACCCATACTATTTCAAATAAGTGACTGTCTAGACTCTTCTTAAAAACCTCCAATGATGGAGCACCGACAAGTTCTGGAGGCAAGCTGGTCAATTGCTAGGAAGCTTCTGCTTAATTCCCGATTGCTTCTCTGATCAGTTTCCAGCCATTGTTTCTTGTCCTGCCCTCTGGTGCTTTGGAGAATAATTTGACCCCCTCTTCTTTGTGGCAGCCCCTCAAGTACTGGAATATTGCTATCAGGTCACCCCTAATTCTTCTATGAAGCTTTCTGTATCTCTCTTCCAACAGAGTTCAGCTGTACAAGGCGTTTATCAGATCCAGCATGGAAATAAACAGTTTAAAAAACAGGACTTACCATGGGATTTATTTTTTACTTTCAAGAGAATGCTGCTGGTTGGCAACCAACTAGAAGGGGAAGACAAAAGAGTTGTTTTGGTCTGCTTCTTTTGCAAATGCTCTCTATTCCTGTTTATTGACTTCTTGTATTGTATAGTAAAAGCTGTGTTCATCTGAGTTCTCATCAGCCAATTTGAAGGCATAACTTTGGGGTTCACAGTTGTGGAAGTACTCATCAAGTAATCATTAAATGACTTCAAAGAAGGAGTAGGGTCCATATCAGTAGAGGCTAAAGTCAGAGTATGATGGAATTTGGTTTCCATAGTAGACTTGGAGGGACTTGCCTTAATTCCTTCAGATGCAATTATTTGCACAGGAGTGTTGCCGTTCTCCGCTGTATACGCTGGATTGTCCATCTGCTCTCCTTTATATATTTTGGTCTGTTCCAAGTGTTGTGGAGGTTCCGTTAGATCGGCCTTTTTCTTGGAGAACTCAGAATTAGGAAGCGGCATTTGAAGCATTTCTTTCTGCATCTTTGGTGGGATACTTTTAAGAGATTGGACTGGAACTCTCTGTTCTTCCAAGGAGACGTGAGGAAAAGTAATAGCATTCATGATTTCCCCTTCAGGACTTCTCACATGTGTTGTCATCCATCGTGTGGTTGTAGAGACATCATTCCGAGGACTGACAAATTCAGAGATAGCTCCATGGTTTTTTGCTGTTTCCAATGTTGTCATTCTTTGAGGATTATGAGTCGTGTGTGGAAAGGTTGAATAAACATCTGGGTTGTGTATAAAAGCTTCTTCATTCTCCGCATCATTTGATTCTGATACTAGTGTAGGACTTTTCTTCAAAGTCCTACCATTGTCCACAGATGGTTGTGTAACTTGCCTTCTCTTCAAAACAAATGGATTAAAGCGAACTGTTTTTGTTGACTTCAAGAGAGAAACACGCATATGCTTGCCAACAGCTGGTTTTAAAAATGTTTCTGTCCCTGTGTTAATAGTCTTTTCACTTGTCACAGACAGCCAATTCTCTTTGCCAAGCGTTGGGGTAGTCGCTGTAGAGTTCAAACTATGTCCTGTATGCAATACATATGACTTAGATCCAAAACTCCTGTTAGATTTCAAAACTGATTTTTCAACACTTGTAGAATTTACATAATCTTCAAATACATAGTACCGTCCTTTAAAGTGCTTGTGACTTTGGTTCTGAGAAGAAACTTCTGACAAAAATACTACATAGATGGCTATTGCTTGAGTAGCAAAAATCAGAGTACCATGGTTTCTGCAGGCATAAACTACTTTGTTTTCAACCCTTGACAAAACTCCTTGGAATAAGATCCTATCCTGATTGTCATTACAGTTTGACTTTCCTTCAAATCCTTCTATGTAAATCAGGATATGCTTGTGAGGACCAGCCCATATGGTCCAGTTGCACCAGTTATTGGTTTCAGCTCCGTTTAATGCTGGAGGAGAAAAAGTCCCAGTTTTGCCTTTCAAAATAACATGGCAACTTTTTACAGGAAGATACACAGATAGCCAAGGAATCCCCAGTTCTGTGGCAGGAAACATAAAGACATGGCATTACCATCATTTTATTGATCAAGTCTGGTTTATACTAGTAGAAGATACAGGCTAGTCTTGTTGAAATATTTCCCACAAGGAGTAGTAACCTTGACAACAGTTATTGAATATATCTCATTTCATTTTGAAAATATTATTTCCCCTGTGGCTAGAATGTTAGAACTAGAGAAATAAAATTAGTCAGACTCTCATTGGTATTTAGATAAAATGCTTTGGCTTTCCTCTAGGAACCTAAAATGATTGTATATTCACACCATCCCTTCCTTCACTTGGCTAGAAGTTCCCTTGTTAAAAACAAGACAAAAGTTAGGCAAAACCATAACATTTAAGACAAGACACAACCTTTAAACTCAGTGTGAAAAAGGTGCATGTTATCTGCAAAATAATGATCTGACAACCTCTTTTAGGTTAGGACAAATTATCCAGGCAGTTTTTAAGAAGACAAAAACTGGTAGAAAAAGGGTAATACTGTACAACCTCTTATTTGTTTCCATTTTCTTTGTGTATTGGCCTGTAACTTGGATTATTCTCAATTTGGGACTATTCTACGCATTTGTAAAGAGTGGCTATAGATAGCTGAAAACTATCTAATTGTTCAACTTCAGCAGCAACATTTTGGAAGGAATAATGGTAAAGCAAAGCTGATATTTGAAAGCAATGTTTTAAACCCATGCCAGGAAGGTAACAATCCCTGTGTCTTAAACTACAATGCAGTTAGATACTAGGCACAACACAATAGTACACCAATAATAAAAATGTAGGAAGTATTAAAATAATTAATCCTCAGAAGGTATAAATACAGATAGACATCAATAGAAAATTCCGTTACTGAAAACTAATATGAAAAATATTTCAAGCAAACTAGGTTTATTTCCAGCCTAACCTATTCCAACCCCACAGCAATGCTATATGTATTTAGTCAAATGTATTTTCCATTTGGTTAGTCTCAAATTAGAGAGGAACCTCCCAATCTGAGCCACATGTTCACCATTAACCTCAACTCAGTCATAACCTTGAAGTGTATTTGAACTGGGTTGTCTTTGTGAATTGGTGTGTCCATTCTTGAAGTCAATACTTCTGCAAGCAATGCAGTTCTCTGTTTTACCAACTCTCAAGAGGATAAAATCACTACTGGTTTGATTATCTTTGACTCTTAAGTATATGGACTGACCTAAATTCAATCACCTTATCTTTTTAAATTGTATCAATTGAATCATCTTTGTGCTGTAACACTGAAATGATTTCACATAATAACCACAATGGCTTCCCATTGTGCCTGGACTTCGTGCTCTAAAGATAAATTCAGTGACATTGTGCAGTATAGGCAGAGTCCTGGGCTAATTCTGTTCTATCTTTTTTCATTCCTATTGCTTTTAGGTGAGTGTTAAGCATTTGAAGACCAGTGAAGAATTATAATAAACACCTGAATAATACATTACATCAGTGGTGGGATTCTAATTGTTTTACTACCAGTTTTGTGGGTGTGGCTTGGTGGGCATGGCTTGGTGGGTATGGCAGGGGAAGGATACTATAAAATTCCCTCCCCACCCCACTAATCTGCTTTCCACTCTGTTCTCCTGTGCAGGGCAACAAAAGAAGACCCAGCCAATCAGCTGGGACTCGTGAAGCAGAGAATAAATGGGGCAGGGCCAGTCAGAGGTGGTATTTGCCAGTTCTCTAAACCACTCAAAATTTCCGCTACCGGTTCTCTAGAACTGGTCAGAACCGGCTGAATTCCACATCTGTTTGGAGGGAAGAGAAAGGGAAGGATAGCACAGCAATGATTGGTGTCCGGAAGTTATCTGCATTATATGTATACATGCATTACATGTATGTCATTGATGCCAAGAGGCCATCTTCTAGATTGGGAATAGCAAGCAAGAGAGCTGCTCCAGTTGTGTCATGAGAATGTGGAAGTTCTTGTCCATCAGCTAGGAAGGGACAAGGGTTTTCCATCCTTAAAGAAATAAAATGAGAACTTTCTAATTCTGTAACTAAAGGAGCAGCTGTGGTTTTGCTATGGTTAAGATACGGTTTGGTAACTAAATTCCAACAGAAATTCCTTTTCACTTCTGACCTAAACCTGTCTGATTCATGTGTCATTTTGGAAGTTCAATATGAGAAATATCAATTCTAAAAGATTCTTGGTAACAAAATCTGGGGCTCAAATGCAATTCTTTCAGATTATTGTATGGCAGTATCAGAGATGAAATGACTTTTGAACGACTGGCTGCTTTTTACAATAGTATCAACATTAACCAACATTATAGAGGCTTAATCATCAAGAATTGGTGCAATTCCAATTTTCCATCCAGTAGCAGATTTAGCATCACTGAAAATGCAGTTCTACACAGCTGACTTATTGGTTCCCCTTTTTTTATGTCTTCAAAGAGAGAAGTCATTTTCATACAAGAATATCTGCAATTTTCTTCCATGATTGGTAGCAAGATCCAAGCCAATTTCTCTGCTCATTGTTTCATGAAATAGAACATTTTGGAGGCAACTTGTCAGCCCCTCTGATTCGAAACCCTGAGAACTAGTCATTTTATTCCTTCCTGTCAGGGGAGATAGGGAATGTGCAACCAAAGTAAGACAATCCAATTGTGCCAATTTGCTACTTGTCCACAGGAGGTTCATAATAAAGTGATTATGATCATTTCAAACTGGAATCTATAATTTGGCTTGGAAATTCCATTTCTCATGTGGCACTGGGAGACTTGATTAGCGTTGATAATTTTAAGTTACTATTATCAGAATAAACATTAATAGCTCCTCCAACCAATGATGGGCTTGGCAAGCTTCACTCTAAACTTTCTGCCATTTTAATTTTCTGTATCCAGAGGCATACTTGTAAATAAATACAATGTTAGAGGTGCTACATAGCATGAATCAGAGGAATACATCCTAGTTACAGAAGACACTTACAGGCAAAGAAGTGATAAAATCTATAGATTACTGCTAGGATTGCCAGAAACTGAAGAATTTTACTCCTTCCAGCCCACTGAAGAAATGCCTGTTTAATGTGTGAAAGATTGCTATGATGATAATAAAGCCTTTCTAATATTTGGCACCCATATTGGGACTCCCAAACCACTAAATACAATTTATAAACAACTAGATTTTTAAATACGCAGATAATTCTATCTATATTTGTATCTACAGGATGTGTGTTTGTGTATGTATGTGTGCCTTTTTGCTTTTGAGTCTACACTATATAATTATTTTTTTTCAATATTATTGCAGATACGTGTTTTTGGAAAAAAGCATGGGGAGGTGTATAATGTTCATTTTGTTACTGTTGCATGAATATTTCTTGAGAAGTCTATATTAACATATTAATATTGACTAATGTACCACATAAGCAAAAAAAATTCTGGTTTAAAGTTTAAAGTTCTGGTTTCTTTAAGCAATGATGCTATGAAGACATAACAATGAATGTTGCTAAACCACGCAATTGATATTTCTAGGTTAAATTTATTATTTATTAAAAAGAGTTACATAGCCGCCCAACTCACTCATTTGGGGTCTAATCTTTGTAAACTGTTCAACTCCAGACAGCTTACAAAGACCCCAAATATAAAACTCAGTACATTCCCCACCTGTAGGAGAAGAATGGCAGAATAAAAAGATGGATCAGCCTAGAATCTCTGTCTAGCCAACGAGCAAACTAAGTCCAACTGCCCTTGAGTACCACTGATCCTTAACTATTTCTAACCAGGTGCTGACCTAGTTGAGAAGATTCCTGTGCATAGGCCTTTAGCAATAAATCAGTTAAATTGAACCTTCATGTGTGGATCCTGGTTCTTTGCACCTGACATTATCTTTCCTGGGGACAAGATTCAGACAAAACCCTTGATGGGCTATGAATCAAGCTGGGATCCCAGGGCCTGTTGACAAAACTCTGACTTCAGGGCCTTTGAAGAGAGTAGTCAGGTGGGGGCCAAATCTTACCTCTGCAGGGATGATGTTCTATAGTGAGGAAGCCACCATGGAAAAGTCCCTTTGTCTTGGTCCCACTAGATGGATCGTTTAAGTGGACGGAACCTATAACCAGGGGTGCAATCTGACTGGTTCAGTGATTTACAATTTGCACAAGTGTAAATTGTCAGCATGCTGCCTGGACAGCTGAGCAGCACTGCGCACGGGTGCACAGCAGTTGAAAAAGGACTTTTTCCCTGCTTTTTCAACTGCAGCTATGCTGCTCAAAGCACTGAAAAAAACAGGAAATAAAGGTAAGAACCCGGGTGGGCAGGCAGGCCAAAACATCAGCAGACATAGAACCGGTTCTATGTCTGCTGCTCTTCAGAGCTACCGGTTCTACAGAACCAGTCAGAACTGGTAGAATCCCACCCCTGCCTATAACATCCCCTGCCTCCCCAATCTGGTGGGTTATTTATATAATTGGGAAGAGACAGTAGTTCATGTAACCTGGCCCCAAGCCATGTAGAGCTTTAAAGATGATAACTATCACCTTGAATTGGATCCTAAAACAAATTGGCAACTAATGTGGGCCATTACATTTTTAACCAGCTAAAGCTTTTGGATATTTTTCAAGGTGTATCACAATAATCAAAATGAAAGGTGACTGGGACATGGGTGACTGTGAGCAGGAACTGTTGGACCAGGAAAGGGCACAATGGATGCATAATCTGCTGTTGTGCAGTAGCCTTCCTTGGACTGCCACCTCATCAAGCAGGAATTGCAAATCCAGGAGAACCCCCAGATTATGTACCAGGTGTGTCTGGGAGCAGTAGAACCCCATCCAAGACCAAAGGTGGCAATTCTCCATGAACAAAAGAATACCAAACCCAGAACCATTCCCTCTGGTTCACTTTCAACCTCTTGTTCCTCATCCAGCTCTTACCCACTCACCATGGCCAAGATATACATATGAGTAATACCAAAACTTCAAAAACAACTGTTGAAAATAAAGCCATCTCCAAAAAGAGCCTGCCTCAGTTACAAACCATGCAAAGTCATTTTGGCAGCCTTTTATTGCTAAAGTTCAGTTGCTCCTTCAGGATTCCGATTCCATATCCACAGTTCCTATCACTTGCCTAAGCGTCCTGCCAAGTTAGATCTTGGATTAGTCTACTAATAGTGTCCATTTGGCAATACAGGAAACTGGTGAGGAATTAGTACAATTTGAAGAAAAACTAACAACCCCCCCCCCATCATAACATTTAGAAAAAAAGGGCCAGAGATTGTAGGACAAGGATGAGTGGCTTTGTAACATGAAAGCAGCACGAGATTTTAGAAAGATTGAATGAAATAATTGTTCTGAGAGTATTGCTGTGCTGGAGGTTCAGGTGAATGTTGACAAATACAGAACATAGTCTCCCCTTCTTCCTTAGATACTTCCCTAAAATTACTCCTCCTGTAATTTTCGTGCAAGTACAGTATACTTATTTCAAAAGAGGCCAAGCTTACAATTTAGTTAGGAAAGAACTACTCTAGCACAAATCAGAAGAAATAGTTCATCCTGCTATCTGAATCCAAGCAGTTTAGGAACAGGGAAAAGCTTTGCTGGAGTTCATATGTTTTTTTCTTAAACTTCAGAGTTAGCTTCAGGTTGAAGCTAATTCACATAAAATTAACATAAAAATGATCACGTTCTTTATTTATAGAGAATTGAAAGCTTACCTGGTTGGACTTGCTGGGATACTTCCAGAGAAACCTTTGTCTATATAAATAAAACCCAAAAATTAAATCATGTTCAAAGTGATAATGCTGCCAATCTCACTTCTAGAGCAACTTAAAATGGACTTTTGCTTTATTACTTTATACTAGCTAGGTTGCACTTTAGGCTCAAAAAGCAGTTTAGGGCCCAATTCCTTCAATTAAACAATTTTATCAGGATTCTAAAAGTATGTCTTCTCTGCAGTAGTGCCTTCCCTCTGAATTCGGTATCCCTACATGATCCAGATGGTTCTACACTGCTGTTGGTTAGGAGGGATATGCAAATCTAGGCATGCATAATATAGACAGGGTCCAAGCATTCTTCCTTGATTCCAGTCATGGCAATATTTTATTCTGACTTACTACAAAGTTCAATGTCAGGTTAGACAAAGTTTGCCAACAAAATGATGTATTTATTTAGCCTATAGTGGTACTTGAGATAAGGGTCTCCTAGAGACTGAAACATGTTCATTACAAACTCATAGACAAAAAAAAAATGCTTTGTTCTGACATTTAGTGCAAAAGCTCTTCTTACCAGTTCCTTGTCTTTTACTCCATCAGCATTTGGAGTCTGTAAAACCCTTGGAACTTGAGTGGTAGCAACATTTCCCAACAAAAAAGCAAAAAATAACAGAAGAAAAAGCATTGTAATAATTTGTCGAGCACCTTCATTGAAGATAGATGCCTATGTGTGATAGAATGAATGCACAAGTAGATATATACACTCATGCAGTTATTTCCCTTCTAGAGCATTCATGAAATATTCTGCTTCTTAAATTTAAAGCATTTAGCTTCCTTTGTTTTCCAGCCTCTTGCTCTTAAATTTCTGCTTAACTAGGCAGGGCAAGGTAGAAAAAAGAAACTTTGAAGACTGTTCTTTTTGAGCATGTCCTCTGCTCAAATGTTCCCTATTATCTCATCAGATTTAAAGGTCCCAAATGGCCCTAATTAACAAGTATAGGCCTCTTTACTGTGGAAGATCTTGAAACAGAAGGAGAAGTATTTGCAGATTTACTCAGGAGTTTTATGGTTGTATTAGTTAATTAGACCCAACTAATAGGTTAGCAAGCATAAGGAACTCCAGTATGATTTGGGATATAACCCATTCATAATGATTAAGTTTAGGGTGAAGATTTATAACAGAACTAGATTCTCTGCATGTCTTCTCAAAGATGAAAACCATATGCTTAGTAAAGTTTGCTCAATAAATAATAAGGTTCAGAATATACACATACATAACTTTAAAGCAATGTTTCTCAAAGCATGGTCCAAGGACCGCTGGGGCTGCCCCAAGACCCTCTTAGGCATCCATGAAATCAAAGTTTCAATGCCAGCCTATGTTTAATCAATATTAAAATCCCATCAAATAATTGTGAAAAGTGGCAGTAAATGTGTGTCAATTTTAATTTGTAATATGGTAAATATTACTTGTAACCTGTACAAACAAAAGTTGTTTGGGGGGTCTTCCATAATTTTTGAAAGTGGGAAGTCTCCTGAGAAAAAGAAGTTGAAGAAAAATTGCTTTAAAGCAGGGGCCCCCAAACTTGGCAACTTTAAGACTTGTGGACTTCAACTCCCAGAATTCTCCAGCGTAGTTTAGCTGGCTGGAGAATTCTGGGAGTTGAAGTCCACAAGTCTTAACACTGCTATATTTGGCGACCTCTGCTTTAAAGTATTGTGTAAATCCAGCCTGGATTTTTCAGATCTTGTAAGTTTTATCACAATATTTACAACCCTTTACTTCCCATGTTAAAGATCTCTCTGCCACCTATTTCCCCTCCCCCCATAAGAAGATGGCCCTGTAGCGCCCTCTTGTGGCTGTCTGGTATGTAGCAAGAAACATGAACTATGGTAAGTATAATAGTTACAAGAAGCACATTCTATGGAAACTAGATTTCCCCAGGAAAGCACATTCAAGCTAATTGAATAAGACCATTTTATTAATTTCCCTATTCTATCTCACTCCAAAACCTGCCAAATATTTTAGTAAGTGCTTTAGAGAAGCAATTATGTCTCAAAATGTGACACAGTTTTCAAAGGAGGATATCATCTACCAGATATTGCAACCTCATAGTTGAATAATCAATGGTTTCATTTTGTCTCTCCTATGAGACTGATCTGCAATACCAAATAAACAAGAAACCATCAGTGGAGGAATCTTCTCAAAGGATGGAGAAAGCTTTACTCAGTACATTTCTTTCTTTTTCCCACAACTGATACACTGAATATGTTTCACCTGCAACACAGAAACTTTATGCTAAATAATTAACTACATTAATTTTAGAACAAGGTTCATGGGGTTATGAGATTTGCTTTTGAGTAAAAACAGCCAGATGTAAAGGACCCTACTGCAACATTATAGAAAAAAAATGGAAGAAGAATCTCAGTTTAAAGAATAGGCTTAAATTTATCAGCTTAATCCTTTCTCACTGACGTACACCTATTCATTAGACTCACTTCCTTAGTTAAACCAAGTATGTATATTTGCTTGGTTTTGCTAAACACTTGTTAATGTAACTAATGAGAATTATAAGCCATAGGTTATAGCTTAGCTCATTGTGTGAATTCAGCAAATTTTCACTTGACTTAAATTACATGATGATGTAATGGGGCACCATTAAATGATCTAAAGGATCAGGTTAGGGAGGGATCATCATGATGAAAACTGTATCTCATGATCACTGAGTCAGCACCAATTTGATGGCACATAATCAAGAAGCCATGGTTAAGCAACCCAAGTATGTTTAAACCCAATTATTGGCTTGCATGCTAACTACAGAGCAGTATTTGAAGCAACTTATTAGTACAGTAATGGCAATGCTGAAGCCTAGATCACGTTGATAATGATAATAAAAGAAAAATACCTGTCCCATCCTGCTGAGTAATAACAGCTTATTCAACTTAGCTGCATTTGGAAAAAAAATATTTTTCAGGTGAGACGTTATGGCCTGGAGGCAGAAGTGAGTCATGGCAACTCTTGTTTTTAAAATCTTAAGTGTGGGGAGAAGGAAAACAAGAGCGAGTTACTACTGGAATTCTATAGCGTCATAACTTTTGCTCTAAACCAGGGGTGTCCAACCTTGGCAACTTTAAGACTTGTGGACTTCAACTCCCAGAATTCTCCAGCCAGCTAAACTACGCTGGAGAATTCTGGGAGTTGAAGTCCATAAGTCTTAAAGTTGCCAAGGTTGGACACCCCTGCTCTAAACCAAGTAGGAAGCCAGGATTTGATACTTTCAACTTTGGTTCCACATTTTCTGGCATTCACTGAAATCAAACTATGGAAAACACTAAACTAAGGTCAAAACTGAAAAAGGTTATTTACGGTCAATGTCCTGGTTTCAAACTTTTCTTTTTCAAGTTGATGTGCTCAAACCAGAAATGAATACGACCGACTGCAAGCAGAAATACTGTTAATGTAGTACTCAAGATAAATGCCTCTGGAATTGGTAAGGAGATGAAAAGGGGTGTATGGCACAGGTGCCAAACTCACAGCGTCACATTGCCGTCATGTGATGTTTCATGATGTTTTCTCATTCATGGAGTTGGGGTGGGCGTGGCCTGCTCATAACGCATCCAGTTTGACACCCCTGGTACTATACGATAAGGATGTGTGTGGGAGGGGGATGTCAAAAAATCAAGATGGTAACAAGTTAAGTCCTCCTTTTTAATGGAGCATTGCACCTGAATGATAAGAAGGCCAATCTTTAACTGTGTGATTGTCAAGCTCACATTTTTTGCCCCCCCCCCCCCCCCCGCACGCACATGACTATAACTGAGTCATGGGCAGTGAGTCTCTCCCAAGGGAAACACCGATTCAGAGAATGTAGGGTTTCTCTAATGATGGTTTGATAACAAAAAAACATCTTTTGTTTTTTTGGCAATAAAAAATTTGGTCATTACCAGAGCAATGCCTTTAGCTAGCCTACACATGCACTGAGATTTATTTAGATATTTTGTGAACAGCACTTGAATCTAACATCGGGAATTGTGTGATAGTTGCTGGACAAAGCTGCAGAGTTCTTGTGACTAATAGTTGCGGAGAAGAGAGTATTGTAGTTTCTTGTTCCAAATTGAAAAAAAAAACCTGCACTTCAGTGGTGGGATTCAATTTTTTTTTACTACCAGTTCTGTGGGTGTGACTTGATGGGCATGGCCGGGGAAGGATACTGTAAATTCTCCATTCCCACCCAACTCCCAGGGGAAGGATACTGCAAAATTCCCGTTCCCTCCCCACCCCACTAACCTGCTTTCCAGTTCCGTTCTCCTGTGCAGGGCAACAAAAGAAGATCCAGCCGATCAGCTAGGACTCAGGAGACAGAGAATAGATGGGGATGGGGCCAGTCAAAGGTGGTATTTGCCAGTTCCCTGAACTACTCAAAATTTCCGCTACCGGTTCTCCAGAACTGGTCAGAACCTGCTGAATACCACCTCTGCTGCACTTGCTCAGTTCTCTTGATCAGCATTTATAAAATATCTTTTGCATTTAGCCTCCAAGTAGACGTATCCTCAGAGCAGATTAGTCCCAATAGTATGTTCATTCTCTTTAGTTATTGTCACTTTTCTCCATTATGCAGCTATAAACCTATACATTCAGGAGGTACATATGCCAACAATGAAACTGTGGCCTAGTTTGTTTGGTTTTTACTTAGCATTGCTTTAGGAATCCAATCCCTATATTTTCTAAACCATGAATTTTGATTTAAGGTATAAGCAAAGTATATTAATTAGCAAGCTATGGTTTAACAACATGGTTTAACTCAGGGGTGGGATTCAAACTTTTTAACAAGTGGTTCTGTGGGCGTGGCTTATTTGGTGGATGTGCCTTGGTGGTCATGTGACTGGGTGGACATGGCTTGGTGGTCATGTTATTGGCTGGATGTGGCCAACTCAATATCACTCACATCGAGGCACGCATCTCTTCGCCTGGCTTCTCATGACTGTGGGGATGCTGCAACAGTAGTAAGTGTGAAAAATGGTCATAAGTCACTTTTTTTCTGTGCC